AAGAGGGGTTAGCAGGATAGCCAGAGACCGGTGCAGTTTAGATTCCTTGCTCGACGTACTACTTTGCTAGAACGTCGAGCAAGTGAAAGCCTACGGTTTAAATAGGCAGAGCAGGTGATTGGGGGGGCGGAGCCGGAGATGAGACCCGACCCGAGCGTCTCCTAGCAACGGGACGCCGCTGGGCCGGGCTCGCCGCGTCATCACGCCGACTCAGCTGTTCGGCAGAAGGAGGAGTGGAGCGCTGAGGAACGCCCGCCCGTCGCCCGGCAACAGGACGCTGTTGACGGGGCCGTCCCTGCCATGTTCTTGGGCTACGGAGCGGGGTCCGATCCTGACACCTTGTATGTTGCGGTCTCTTAGGATGGTATCTAATTGATTTTTGAACTTATCAATATTCTTTGCGGATACCACTGCTTGTGGCAGAGAGTTCCAAAATGTAAACGCTCAAACTGAAGAATCTTCTACGCCCTTTGTGGGTAAATCTTTTCTCCACCAATTTTAGGTGGTGGCCTCTAGTCCTTGTTACGGAGTTTAGAGTAAAAGGTTAAGTGTTGATGTTGCCATCATGACTGAACATTATGTACAACAAAATCATGTCCCCTCTTTACCTCCTCACTTCCAGCGTGTGGAGTCTGTTTAAACAGCCCCGATGCTGGCGACGTACACTGTACGTCGTCAGTCACGAAGGGGTTAAATTTAGCAACCTTGTCGCTTTGATCCTCCAGCCCCTTAATTGGCTTAGTTGCTCTTCTTTGGACCTTCTCCAGCTCAAGGACATCTTTTCTGTGGACTGGTGACCAAAACTGAACCACATATTTAAGATGAGACCGAACCAGTGATCTAGAAAGTGGCAAAATTATTGCTTTATCTCTACAGTACATTCCCTTTTTAATACAAGACAGTACTCTGTTCGCTTTGTTTGCCGCCTGGCATTGCGTGCTGTTATTCAATCTGCGGTCACCTGCTTGTTTTTAACACCAAAGTGCATTACTTTATATTTTCCAACATTAAACCTCATTTGCCATGTAGTTGCCCACTCACCACTCACCTGATTTATCCAGGTCCTCCTGTAATGTTATAATATCTAAGTCTGTATCTATTACCCTCCCAATTTTACTATAATCTGCAAACAAAGAAACATGGCTATTGATGCCCTCCCCAATATTGTTAATAAAAAGGTTAAATAGTAGTGGGCCTAGGACAGAACCCTGGGGCACTCCACTCTCAACCTTAGACCAATTTGAAAAAGAGTCATTTATCAATACTCTCTGGACTCACATATTTGCACTTTACCAAATAACACACACCCGTTAATGACTAAATAATCTGAAACAAGAATTCCATATACAGCCCAGAGAAGAGACACAGTGACCCTGCTGCTGCTTTTGCCCATACCTTCACTTTTTAGACTAGAGTCTTGCTATGTTACAATTCACACAGAAAGATCTTTTAGAACATCTTTACAGGTAGCATAGTTGATCCACTCAATCTATACTAAGATGTGGCTCTCTTTTTCAAGAACACCTCTTCCCAAAATTAAAAAAAAGCAGTATGGCTTTTTAAAAAAAAATTTATGCACTCACTTCAGATTGAAATCTTTACATCCAAATGAATAAATTGAACTCCAAATTAATTCTCATCACTTTTTTTGCTTTCTCTCAACAGATTTACTGTCAAGACATTGACCCAGGTTTCTCTTGCCTTTACATAGAAGTAGGCTGACTGAAATTTTATGATTCTTATGTAGCTGCAGCACAATATGTCTGGGTTGTCACTTGCATCACTGATTCAACTGAATGAATGTATACAACAGAGCACCATTTGTTTGCACATGCAATAGTACCAGTCATATATTTACTCATCTCCTCTGGTCAGTGTCAAATCAAAGTCTGCAGATAGGATATGTTAATAACTCTTTTCTAATGAAGTACTAAATAAAATGTTATGGTTTAAAGTAGTGTTGAGACAAATTGCAGGATGTTTGCTGAACAAAAAATTTGGAAATTGCACATGTTTAAAGTCTATGGGGTGGCGGGGGAGCTTATCAAGGTTAATAGGCAGGGGACATGGGGAGCAGTGCACTGCCATGGTGAACATGTATTTATGCATAAAACATTTTTTTAAATACAGCTCAGCGGGAAAAGGGTCTTCCATTTTATACGACTTTACGGGAGACATGGGAAAAACATAAATTTGTCAAATTAAATGCTTCAGAGATGTCTTTAAGCTATATGTGGCATTACGGAACAGTACAATCCTCTGCGACAGCAACAACAACATTTTACATTTGCATTTAGATCAGAAAGAGGCTAGAGAAGCTAAACGCTAATAAATCTCCAAGACCAGGTGACTTACATCTGCAAGTCCTCAAAGAACTGAGTGAGGTTATTGCCAGACCCTTGCTTTTAATCTCTAAGGACAGGAGAGGTACCAGATAACTGGAGGAAGGCTAATGTGGTACTGCTATTCAAGAAAGGTTCAAGATGTGTACCAGGTAACTAAAGGCCAGTCAGCCTAACATCAATAATATGCCAAGTTTTTAAGGGAATGGCCAGGGACTATATTATAAAATGTGCATGTGATAACGGTATCATACCAACATGGATTTATGAAGTCAAAGTAGGCCTTTTGGGGCTCCCCTATTTAAAGGATTCTAGCACATCAGCAGAGGGCTTTGTACAGCAAGTCTGTAGCAAAAAAAAATCTGCTTGTCCGAGACACAAACTAAACCAAGGTCAGTTCTTTACTAACAAGGTGCCCCAGAAGAGGTTTCCCAACACAAAAAGGCACCTTTTTAGTGTTCTGTCAGCACTCAGCCTTTCCACCTAGCAGCAGGCTTCCACACCAGAGAGAGACCAGAGCATCAGTAAGTTTACATATACAAAGGCCTGTGAACAGCTGAGGCTAATAATGGGGTCTGGCTAACTTTATCTCACCCAAAGCTCTACAGAGCCTCTGGGTTCCAGGCTTCAGAACAGAACTTATTAAGATTCTAAGAAAACAAAATGTTTATTTTGTCTACATCAACCATAAACCTTAGAGCCCCTCACTATGTGTATGTGAGAAACTTAGGTGACACATATAAACCGGCCACAATCCTGTCCACCAGCACCTCACAACAAATGTATGTACCGTACAAATATACTGAAAGAAGCACTGTCTGTCACTGTAAAACTGGGGGAGAGTGACAGACAGTGGACAATACTCAGTAAAAATGTGTCTGAGAACAGGTAGCTCAAGAGTCAATTCCAATTACAAACAATATTGTCTACAAGTTAAAGTATTCTGCTCTCAGTCAGGGCTTTTGTAAGGATGCGGTTTCTGTTGAGGCTGCATGTGTGGGCAGGAACTGGGGTGCTTGTCTAGGCTTGTGTGTCCCTACAGACAGACAGTCTAATCAAACTGGCATCTGGCATTTATGCAGTGGTATACTGTTTCATGATTAAGTCTGCGGTGGAGCAGACTGAGAGCAGAGCACAACAAGCAGTGTAGCAAAATGGCCACGGGGCTTAAAATATTTGCCTTGCTGTATCACATGGAAACGACTTGTGCATACACAAAACATTTTTAAGTTTTGGGTAGAGTAGGAAAGGGTTAAAACCCCTGCCATTTTATAATTGCTGTTTGGGGTTTTCCCTTACTTTCTTTCTAGAGGAAAATAGTCACTAGTACAAAAAGTGATGAATCGCCCCAATTGGAACACAAACAGCAAAAAAAACTTGGCAAAGGATCTAACCCTTCCACACTCTATCTGAAACTAAAAAACAAAAAAGGTTTTGTCTAGAGATACACTTTAATCACTGTGTTTGTTGCTGTGTTGTGAAAGTGGAGGCACAGCAGCATATTGATGACATCCAGAATCCTTCACTCCTGAAAATATGTTAGACTGAAACCAATGTGCAAATCGCCATAGACATGACTGGTTTAGAGTGCTGATCCCCCCTTTCCCTCTCATTAATACTACCTATTAGGGATACCGGTTTTTCGGTACCGAATACCGATATTTATATTTCGGTACTCGCTGATACTGAGTACCGATACCGGTTCTTCCAGTAGCATGGATCCAGCTAATCAGGCAATCAGGCAGCTATGCAGTGTGTCATTACCTGCCACCTGGCTTTTTGATTACGGGATCAAAAAGCCTGTGAACAAAGATCAAAAATCGGGAAGCTGGTCATTACCCACTGCCAGGCTTCCTGGCCAATTAGGAAGCCAAAAAGTGGGTCATTACCCGTAGCCTGGCTTTCTGATTGGCATGGGAAGCCGGCTCCATGCTATTTGGCCGGCTCAGTGCTGATTGGCCGGGAAGCCATCATCCAAGCCAATCAGAATTTCGCCGGCTTCACGGCCAAGCAGGAAGCCGGGTCATTTCCCACGGCCCGTCTTCCTGATTGGCCGGGAAGCCATCATCCAAGCCAATCAGAATTTCGCCGGCTTCACGGCCAAGCAGGAAGCCGGGTCATTTCCCACGGCCCGTCTTCCTGATTGGCCGGGAAGCTGGCTCCATGTTCCCTCGCGGCACTGAAGTTCTGGTATCGGGATAAGTATCAGAACATTTGGGCCCAAATACCCGGTATGGCACTGATACTAGTATCGGTGCATCCCTACTATCTATATTCAAACAAAATACTTAAATATTTATGTAATACTCATCAACCTGCTTCCTTAGGCACCTCAATGCTCAGTAGGAGCCCTCGCCGTGCTGCTCTAAGAGAGCATTTGACACACGTGACAGTGATTGCGCCTGAGATGTCAATTGCCACTGAAAACTGTCACGTGGGGAGGGGCAGTGTTGTCATCAACCCAGGTAAGTTCTGACACCATTGGACAGTGCTGCTTACCCAGAAGGAATCCTGCAGTGAGGGAGCACAGATCGTAGAGGATAATAGTAGGGTGGAATATCAGAAGAAACTTGGCAAAGATAGTTTCTTTAAACTACACTCCTCTAGAATACAAGGATGCTAAAAATATGTTGAGAGACAACAGAAGATTAGACATACTCTATACTTGCGAGCTTAATTATAGCTTTGGACAATAACATTGGCCACAGTTCAGCTTCACACGTTGTTGCTGGAAGAAGCAACTCGTCATCTTCACTGAATGGAAAAGTATCGTCCACTACAATTTTTCTCCAGCACCCCTGAGGAAAAAAACAGAAAGGCGTAAAGTAATAACATACATGTACACAAACTGAAACTGTGATTCAGAGCAAGTTATCCAACTCTCCTACACAAAACCCTCCCACTGCTTTCCTGCTGTGGGTTGGTGAAATTATTGAAGGCTTAAATGAAGAGAAGTCACCAAAATTGTAGCTTAAGGCCCTGCATGCACACTTTGTGTGACAGCCACTAATAATCTGTACTAATTTAGTAGCCCGCGCAATTCCCTTCTGACTTGGTTCCTTTCTCTGGTATATGTATATATAAATATCATTGCCAAGTGAAGTTGCAACGTGCCATTTATTCTAAACATCTGCTCCAAAGCTTTAATTTGTCTCTGAAAACATCTGCATTATATATCATTAAAATTGGGCATTCACAAATTTAATATGGCATGCAAACACAGAAGCAGAACGTCAGCAAAACAACTAAACAATAACGTTGGAGAGAAGTGGGTGGAAAACACAATCTACTGTATCTTTACATAAGAGAACATTATCCTATTTTTCAGTAATATTGCAGTGCACCACCATATATTTCTTTTTTTAGAAATTCTTTTATTTAGCAAGTTTTTCAGAATTACAAGTATTGGTACTGAACATGGGGCAATAGACCCCTGGTCGATAGGTAGTGGACGCAGCCACCGTATAAAACCATCAGACATACAATAACAGTGATACAACCCCACGGTAGTTACAAAAGTAAGGCCACCCCTGTTAGCACACTCGCCCGTGGGCTAGTAAGAACGTGGTCCACTGGGTGAAGGGTCTTGTGTAATTCCCCACCGTGCGCCAAGGTACCTGGAGAGTCATCCTTGGAAGGAAGGGGGACTAATAGTCTCGATAGGTGTAGACCCCCCTTTCTCCAGTGCGCCTTCCATTCCCCTGTGGTAGCAGTTTAGGAGTTGGACAGTCTGAGTCCCACTGGCGGTCCGCCACAGGAGCCAGTAGGTAAAAACATTTTATGAGTGGGGTCGTAAAGAGTTTTCAAAAGGAGAGGAGACGAAGACAAGAAAAGATAAAGCAAAAAAGAAGGGGAGGGGGAGGACCCATGGGGAGAAAAAGAGTACAGGAATGGGAGGGGGGGTGGGGAGGATTAGCGGGGATCTCAGTCATTCATTGGTATCAAGCTAAGAGGTCTAAATATTCCTGTGTAGAGGTAAATTCATCCCACCAAAACCATCTAGTGCCGAACTGGGCTCCAGTTCCCTTAATGGAGCTGGTAAGGTCTTCCATATGTCGAATATCTCTTATCCTGCTGAACCACATCTGTATTGTTGGTGGGGAAGCCTGTTTCCACATAGCCGGTATGCAAGCCCTTGCTGCATTAATGAGATGAATTATAACCGATTTTTTTATAACCCTTCAGTGAGTGAGTGTTTTGGTGCAGAAGGAAGAAGGAGGGAGTCAGGGGGATCTGTGCGTCAGAGAGTTTTTGAGTAACAGTATGTACCTGAGCCCAGAATGATTGTAAAGACGGACAGGACCAGAAAACATGTAGCATGCTAGCCGGGGAGGAGCCGCATCTCCAGCAACAGCCATTTGTTTCGGGAAAAATTGTCTGCAACTTCTTGGGGGTGCGGTACCATCTAGTAAGGATTTTGTATCCCGTTTCCTGGTACCTACTACTGGTGGACGACTTCAAGGACAGCGCTAATATGCTAGTTCTCTCGGAAGGTGAAAAAGAAATCCCAATTTCACGTTCCCAACCCTCTATATGCTGCAGAGACGAGTCAAAGTCAGGGGTGAGCAATAACTGGCAGCCTAGCGAGAGAGGTTTAGGCAGTGGGCCAGAGACTATGCATTCCTTCTCAAAACTCGTGGGAGGTCTGGACAGGACCGTTGGTAGTGGCAGGGATGCCAGAAAGTGTGTCAGCTGGCGGTGGCGCCAGAATCCCAGCACGGATAACTCCGGGTCCGTGGCCAGCACAGAGAGAGAGGGCCAATCATTGCCCCGAAGAAAATGCATAGCCCTGCAGTAATCATTATCATGTAATCGTAGAAACCCAGGGCCCTGTAGGCCCGGGGCAAAATCTGGAGACCCTACCACTGGAAGGAGCGGAGAGGGCGAGGGAGAGATCTATCTAGAGTCAAATATTGACCGTGCTATTTTCCAGGTTTGGCCCACCGTCGGGTGTTTGCGGACCGAGGGAGGTATGCTTGGGCACCAGGGAAGTGTTTTGAGGGGAATGGAGAAGCACATTGTTCCAGAGCGATCCAAGATTTCTGGTCCTTGTGGCGACACCAGTCTAAGATGCGTGCTAGATGAGCAGCCAGATAGTAATAATGTACATCCGGAACCGCCAGACCCCCATATCTCTTGGGTAGGCGAAGGATAGAGTGCCTAATCCTGGCCGTTTTTTTTCCCCAAATTTATTTGGTAATCAAGGACTGGATCGTCGTCCAGAATCCCCTGGGCACTAAGATGGGAATTGCCTGGATAGGGTAGAGTAATCTCGGTAAAATGTTCTGTTTGATAACATTACAACTACCCGTCCAGGAGAACGCTAGACGAGACCAGTCCTTGAGGTCGAGTTTTATTCTCTGCAATAGCGGTAGGAAACTTAAAGAGTAGGCCGTGGACAGGTCCCGCGGAAGTTGGATGCCCAGGTAGGTAAGCGAGGCTGTAGACCATGTGAAGGGGAAATTACTCTGGAGACAAAGTACTTGGGAAGGAGGCAACGTGAGATTCAGGGCCTCAGATTTTTGACCATTGATATGATAATTGGACAACTCACCATATTCCGTGAGTTCCGCTATAAGATTCGGTAAGGAGACATCCGGGGCAGTCAGAAAGAAGAGTAAGTCATCTGCATATGCGGCTACCTTGTGGGAGTGTGCCCCCACTTCCACTCCTCGGATGTCCGGGTTTGATCGAATCTTTCTCAGTAGCGGTTCTAAGGTAAGGACAAAGATCAGGGGAGACAGCGGGCACCCCTGTCTTGTGCCATTAGAGATAGTGAATGTCTCGGATAGGCAACCGTTAATTTGTACTTTGGCTGAGGGTCGGGAGTAAAGTGACATAATCCACGACATCATATGGTGACCCAATCCCATATGTTCTAGGGTTGCTCTCATGAATGACCAGTCTACCCGGTCGAAGGCTTTCTCTGCATCCGTGGACAGTAAAAAGGCAGGAGTAGCCTTCGACATGGCAGAATGGATGATGTTCAGGGCTCTAGTGGTGTTATCCCTGGCCTCTCGGGAGGGGGTGAATCCCGCTTGGTCTGGATGGATCATTTCACCTATATAAGGGAGCAGGCGCGTTGCCAGGATTTTAGAAAATAATTTGGTGTCTACATTTAACAGTGAAATCGGGCGATAGCTTGAACAGGTCAGGGGATCTTTGCCCTGTTTTGGGATCACCGCAATGTGAGCGGAAAGGGAGTCTGCGGGGAGTCCCCTCCGGTATGGACTGAATTTAGCGCTCTAACAAAGTGAGAGTTGAGCAAAGAGGCGTATCTCTTGTAGTACATCAGTGTAAAGCCATCCGGGCCATAGGATGGCTGGTATGAATGTTTTAGATCTTTGATGTCGAAGTTCATGGGCCATAGAGCGGCTACAATGGTTGCTAAATTCTTAGAAGTGTCTCCTACATTTAGCTAACATTGCTTTGGCTTTTTGTAGGCACAGAGAGCGTAAGGAGTCTCTGAGGGATGTCAGTTGGGCTAGTATCACCGGTTCCGAGTGTTGCTTATGGCGGGTCTCGAGTAGGTGGACCTGCGTCAGCAGAGAGGAAATCTGTTAGGTGCGCTGGCGCTTGATTCGGGAGCCTATCTTAATCAAAGTGCCCCTAATATATACCTTATGGGCCTCCCATATCGAGTATGGGGAGCAATCGGAGGGATCGTTTAGAGCAAAGTATGACCGAAGTTCTTCCTCTATCTCCCCTGACAAGGCCAGGTCCTGTATTACAGTCTCGTTCAAACGCCATTGCCATGGCTGCCTCTCTGATGACCCCAGATCCACCACAATCGAGACCGCCGCGTGGTCGGATAAGGAGATGTTACCCACATCGGAGTGTGAGACCATCGGTAGGACCGAGTGGTGTACAAGGAAGTAGTCTATGCGTGTGTCCCTATCAGAGGGGTGATGGACCCTCCAGACGTCAGAGAGCTGGTGGAGATGGAGGCACGTCTTGAGGCGTTGCAGCACTGCTCTAGACAAATGAGACGCCGACCTGGAGGAGTCCAACTGCGGGTTCAGGAGGAGATTAAGATCCCACCCCCACTATCAGCACCCCCTCCTTAAAGTCATCCTCCAGTGTCAGCACCCTGTCCAGAAATGAGATTTGACCTATATTAGGGAGGTATAGATTTACTAGAGTAACCATTTGAGCCTCGATTTTGCCTTTGAGCATAAGTAGGCGGCCCTCCTCCCCGGCTTGCATATCCACATATGTCCATGGTAGGTTACGGGATAGGACAATAGCAACCCCCCGGGATCTCTTATCTGGGGAGTAGCTATGATAGGACGTCGGGAATCTGTGATCTGATAGTTTGGGCGAATGCCCTTGTCTGAAGTGTGTCTCCTGGAGGAAACCGATATGTGTGCGCTGTCTGTGGAGGTCATGGAGAACCGCGGTCCCCTTCTCCGGGACATTCATGCCCCTCACATTTGGGGACAGGAATCGGTATGGAGGCATGGTGAGACCCGGGAGTTACGGTCAGGAGGGGGGGACAAGGTAGGCAAAAGGAAATGGGCAGCGGGTCCTCAGGGAGAAGGAGAGAGAAAAGAGGGGGAAAAAAAGGCGGGGGGCGAGGGAGGCGGGTTAGAGGAAAAAGGAAAATGGGAACCGAAGTTCTCAAGTAAACCCCCCTAGAGCCGTACCAGACGGATTGCGGGGAAAAAACTATTGGGGGAGTCGAATCCAAGCACGACTCGTGAGTATCTCCTTCAGCGGCTTTTCCGAAGAGGAGATAATACTGAACGCGCACTCATGTATCCGTGTGCATAACCTGTGTCCCTTCCTGTCAGTGGTAGGATCTGGAGCGAGTCCTGGTGAGGTGTCATCTTAACCATGAAACCCTTCCCTGTCAGGTCAGTCCGTGAACACCCCATTAGTGCCCCCAAGGTCAGGGCGCACCCCATACTTATGGAGTGGTCCCACAGGTCAGGAGGTCGGGGAGATCTCCATGCATACACACATTCTATACATCTTGATCCCAACAAATATCAAGGCACAAGCTGCAGGAACAGTGCAAATGATAACAACAACAGTAATGCATAACTTGACATGGTGCGGAACCAGTTCACCTTCTGCAGGGACCGCAACCGGGAGACAGTTCCCGTGGAACAGTCCCTACAGGAAGGGGCCCAGCACCCAGAACACAGCATAAATTGAAACCACAGTACCCTGTACATGTCATCCCCCCCCCCAAAAAAAGGGAAAAGTGTGGCACTCTGATGAGTAGGCTTTCGCCAGCCTTAGCCAAGGCATCCCTCCAGGGATGTCCCCCTGGGGTAGGCGCGGACCGTAAAACAAGGCTGAGGAAGGTTCCGGTAGATGGAAGTGTTCCAGGACCCAAAGGTCTCGTATCAACGTGGGTGCCGACCCCGTGGGACCCCAAAGGCCAATGCCAGCGGCGACAAGCGACCTCCCCTCCCTCTGTATAGTGAACAACCCCCATCACCTCACAGTCGGGAGCCGGCGTCCTCCATCAGGGTTACAGTCTGTACAGAGAGTGAAGGCCCGCTGTCCCATGGAAGCCAGAGCGAAGGTCGGACCGTGGGAAATCCCCTCTACATGGCGGTCCAGGCAGTTAGTGAGGCTCATAGCGGCCAGTGGAGGTCGAGCACCCACATAGAGGAGACTCAAAAGGTAAACAAAAGGTAAATAAGTGAGTAGGAAGCCATGTCAGGAACATAGGATAGGCCCGGGCCTTCACATCCAGTTAGGCCTCAGCCGACATCTCAGGACCATCACGGTTCCCTGTGTGCCGCTGGTCCCGGCGGGAGGGTCTGGATCTCGAACGGGAACATCGATGGACAGTAGGAGGTCGGCGGGACCCCTCCGATATGTAGATCAACCGGTCCTCTGGGGGTAAGATTTCCATGTTCAAGAATCTGCCCAATTCAGGGACATCCTTCGGGGTTCGGAGCATATAGTAGGCCTCACCCTTCCGTATTATCAAGAGGAAGGGGTATCCCCAGCGGTAGGTCGCCCCCGCACTTCGGATCTGGTCTAACACTGGGCGAAGAAGCGATCTGCGCTTGAGTGTGTTGCGGGAGAGATCCGGGAGGATCTGGAGCTGTACCCCATCAAACTCTACAGGCCTGCGCTGCCACGCCGCCCGGAGGATCTCCTCCTTCATGGTGAAGTAATGCACCCGACATATCACGTCTCTCGGGCTGGGGGAGTTGGGCATTCTGGGGCCCACGGCTCTGTGTACCTGGTCCAGGATAATAGCAGCCGGGTCCACATTTTCTAGGAGAGATGCAAAGATAGCCTGCACCGTGGCCCTGAGATCAGGTGCACCTGTGGCCTCTGGGACGCCGCAAAGGCGCAAATTGTTACGCCGTCCCCTGTCTTCCATGTCCTCCATATGCAACTGTAGGTCAGAGAGGCGGGGATCGGGCTGTGAGGCCGCTGATTCGAGGACCGTGAGCCTTGTCTCCATCTCGGAGTAGGCCGCGGACACCTCCGTAACTGTTGAGGTCAGGTCTCTTACCTCCCGCTTTACTTCCCGCAGGTCTTTGCGCAAGGTAGCCTCAACTCGGGACACCATGGTCTCGAAGTCCCTCTTGGTGGGGAGGTACCGCAACAGGGCCCAGAGACCGTCCGGCACATCCGGAGGAAGGTCATCCATCTCCTATCCCCCGTCCTCACGGAGATCCGGACCAGAGGGACACGGTGAACTGGAGCCAGGTAGGGAAGCGTCCGGAGATGGTGAGCCCCGACGGCGTGAGCCATGGGTTGGGACCCGTGTGGAGGTAATAACTAGTGATGAAAAATGGCTAGTGATGGGAACATTGGGGGGAAATAAGAAAGTTATGTAGACATTAAGCCTAAGCCATTCTTCTAAGCTGACAAAATGGAGCAGATCCTGCTTTTAGGTAACAAAGAGGACACAAGCCTCTTTGTTAAAGGAGAACTATGAGATGAGTGATTTCCACTCACCTCATAGTTCTAGCCGACCTGTGACAATGAGACAGGCTCAGTAGATCGGGAGGTGAGCGAACACATACCGGGTTCGCTCACCTCTCGATCCTGTCACGGATCTCTGCCGTGAGAGGGGCTGGATTCCCCTCTCCGATCTGCCAGCGCTGACTGGCGGAATGGACGGGGGAGGGGGCGGGTACAGCTGGCTCTGCCTCTAGATAGGCAGATCCAGCTGGCACTCACGCAGCTGGGCGAATCTCGACATCGATGTAGGGATCCGCTCCGGCTGCGGCGTCTCAGTATACCGCGAGCTGTAGCTCGCGGTATACTGAGCTTAGGGTAACGGGAGGACGCTAGTTTGTGTCCTCCCGTTACCCTAAGTAGAACTATGGGGAAAAACACTGACCCCATAGTTCTCCTTTAATTAGGAGTGATCTGCACTGTTTTCTATGGCATGTCCTCCCAAGACACAGAGTAGAAGAGCAGCAGAGCCAAAAGTTGCTTACTCTGGCTCCCTCTGCCTAAACATGCACCTCCTGCCCCCTCAGCTAGGAGCAAGAGGATTAAGGAAGGATGTTAATCCAAGTTAACTGAAGCTGGAGTTAAAAGACAAGTAAATAGGCAGGGAAATTAGCTTTTCATGCCTTTATGCAGGCTCTGTGCATAAAGTATGTTTACTGCACAGAAATGTGATCTGTCTGCCAGGTATCAATATTATTACAATTTATTTATGTAAAAATCTGCTAGTATAATCTGCTGGAGAGGTGGTTCAGGGCTTGTTCACACCAAGTGCAGAGCAGTTACAGAACGCAACACAAATGCATCCAATGTTATTTTGGGCTCTAGTTCACACCACAGCGTTCAGTTCCAGAGCATGTGGAAAAACTGCAGCATGCCCTATTTTTTTCTGCTCTGGACTGCACCAAAATGCATGCAAACACATAAAAAGCGCATGCAAACACTCTGGAACGCACTGAAAGCCCATTGTAGGCTAAAAAACGGACCGGGACACGTTAAAAACGCTGCAAAACGCACTTCACTGCATATGCAGAAACTCATGCAGATCTGGCCTGGATTTGGGGTGAACAAACCCATAAAGGGTTATTAAAGCCTCCGTTTTTTTTTGCATATATCTACTGCTAGCAAGCAGTAGATATATGCAAAAAGTTATTTTCTTAAAAACAAAACATTTTAACAGCGGTTTAAACTTACAAGTCTATTCCCCGCGCGCTCCTGTCCGAAAATGTGAAACTGCTCGGGCGGCCGCAAAGCATCTTGGGGCGGGCGCATGCGCAGTTCACATTTTCGGCCGGGACGCGAGGAAAGACACAAGGTAAGTCTATGGACGCGTGCACCCGCATGCAGACACTGTGGGACAGGAAGCGCCAGCAAGCTCAGAGGAGTCAGCGCTGGATTGGAGACTCGCCGCAGCACTGGAGAGAAGGCTGAAACTACAGGAAAGAAGAAGATGATCGGATTAAAAGACATAATTTAAGGTAAGTGCTTTACTTAACATTGGGGTGAGGGGAAAAAACATTTGCCATTAATGTCACTTTAAGGTGAAGAAAGCTTTTAATTAATATTAGGCTAATTATAATAATTATTAACAATAGGAACACAGGGAAAGCAGTGACCTGACCTCATGAATGTCAGGTTCCTATTACTAATTTTGAAAAAAATTAAATCTGCTTACCATCCAGTACAGTTTGACAATGTATTTCCCATAGCTGTTGTAGAGTGGCATGTGCCCTTTTACAGCTTTGCAAAGGGCATAGATGTGTTCCCATGGCTTCCATGCCAGTGTTGCTAGATCAGCTGGTGCAGCCTTACTGTCTGTCAGATTTTCATTATAAATTCTCCAGACAGTACTGACCTCACTAATTATCCATCTCATAAGCTGGCAAGAAAACAAGGAGAACATGGATAAGAAAACACATATTCCTTTAAATTAAAAAATAGTAATTTAAAAATGATTTTGTAAACATGTACTAGTTTTAAAAATTGTGACATACCTCACTCTCCATTAAATGCTCATTTGCTAACATCATATCAAAGGAGGTTTCATCCTTCACAACTACTGGAGTCTATAACAAAAATGGAAAAGATGGGCAATGATTAATTGTCCATAAGGCCTGGTTTTCTATATTATACATACATTATATGATTTGAAGCCAAAGCAGAAGGCAATACAATACCATGAGTTCTCAATTAACAGACAAAGGACAAAAAAAATATAGTTTGTTTAATATGACAGAGCAACAATGACAATGTACTGTATATAGTGTTGTAACCCAGCAACTGACCAGATTTCACTTTTCATTAGGTAGGAAAAGTCAGAGTAAAAACGTATAAATAATGGTTAGCGGTAATTTGTTACTGCATTGTGCATATTGCTGTCTTCTTTATTAAAAGGCACAAATTCAACCAAAACCTCTTTTTCTTAGTTTTGGGTGGAGTGGGGAGAACATAGAACTGGCAAATTGTAAATACTGTATATGTCCCCAAAGAGAAGATTTCCCTTCTCTTCCTGTTCTGACACCCATCATCTGAATAGGAAGTGAGGGAAAATCTGCTAATCCTGACAGCAGATCTATGCCTCCCTCACTCTACTAGACAATGCATTTTTATTTCAGCCTGCCTTCAACCCTTTGCACTACAACTGTGGTCTGTACCGCATCACTGTAAAAAATACCAATACAGCTGAAAACGAGCTTCAAAATTGCGCTGAAATATGAACAGAAAACAACTGTAATACATGCTGAAACGCGCATAAAAACTGGTGGACAAAACGGGCAAAACCATGCAAAAAAATGGCTCTTAAATGCTGCCGCCCTATAAATACTCTATATATATATATACTGTGAATTTCGACTATAAATTTATGGCCAGGTTTCCTAAAACTAACACTAATATTTTCTACGTTCAATCTAAAAAAATGTATAAATGTATTAACTCACTTAAGCATAATTAATCCTTGCAATATACTTTTAAACTGAACCAGCAATTTCTTTCTTTAAAACCAAAAAAGTAAGTAATGTGTGCCCTTTAAAAAGCCAAACATTCAATTAATCATTTTCAGCACAGGTAGGACAAGCAATGAATGTGCAAAAACTACTTACCTTAAGTTATCCAAAAAATGAGTCAAAAGATTTCTCATCTACTCATATATAAAGATATCTACTCATTGTCAATTTTGGAAAGCATAGCAAAGTGAAGAGAAAAGTGCTTGTGAGACTTTAAATTGTTTATTTTAGGAGTACCTTCCAACTCCTTTTTCACCCAGATTTTTTCCTATAAAAAGTTCTCCAAAAACAAATTGTCCCTTTGTATTATGTTTTACAAATAATGAATTATCCAAACGATTATGTAAATCACCTTGGTGACAAGTAAATCTAGACTTTAATTGCATGTCTCAAAACATTGTGACATAGAACATTTTTATAAACTAATTAATAATTATTTGGGGTTTTCCCTTTAGAACGTATGTAATCATATAGCTCCCAAAAGTACAGAAACATTTCTCATTACAATTATGGTCACAAATGCTGAATAAAATACAAATTCCAGATCTAATAACATGGAAAGAGACACTCATCCAACAGCCAGGGCTAGCTTTTTTGTACCCCTATTTTATGTGAATGAAATGCGTTAGGGAAGGGGATTGCCATGGCCCCTGGCCATTATTTTTTTGCATTAGCTTATTTTATTAAAGTGACATTAAACCTTCCTTTTTTTTTTCCTTTGTATATAAGGGAGGCACAGATCGTGTCCAGCACTGTATTTAAAAATGTTTAAATTCCTAGTTTTCGAGTGGGTCCCTGCACCACTGTCTCCCTTGCCCCCTGCACAGGTACTCCCAGCAGCTAAGCGGCTGCTATGGAGGCACTTTTGTGTGCATGTTTCCACAGTGGCTGTGTGTGTACATAGACATACACAACCTTGTGGCAGGTCACGCCCCTCCTCTCCACCCAACAGGTTGATTGATGGCAGAAGGAGCCTACGGCTCCTCTGCCCTCAATCTCCTCCCCCGCAACCTGGAAGTTCGGGACAGAGGATCGCTGCGGCAGTGACATGCGGCGCTGACAGGTAAGTGTGGGGGGGACAGGGGGGGTTCAAAAGGTACTGGCCGTTTTTACTTTATTGCAAAGAATACATTAAGGTAAAAACCGCCCTGACCTTAATACTACTTTAAGTTACTGGCACTATTCTTCTACCTAACCAACTCTATTCATAATTTCAAGGAAACCTGTCATGCAACCCTGGTAGTTCTGCCACTGACCTCAGTCTGCTAGTTGTCTGGCTGCCTCTACCTTTAACCTTTAAAAAATGTCTCAGTAAGGAGTGATTGCCTACCTTGTTATGAGAGAAACATTCTGAACAAGGTAGACAATCACTCCTTACCGAGGCCTATTGGATATACTCATTAAATAGTCTGGTCCCTACAGGTCTCAATGAGGGATTGGAACTAGCCACAGTCCTCTAAGTAGACAGAGAGGCATCGTCACCATACCTTTATTTTATCTCACTAGTCATCCATTCACAACATCTGTCATTAATTAGGTGGCACTTATCTCACACACACAGCACACATGCATATGCATGTCTGAGCCTTTGCAATTTGTGGGCATGCACTGGACACAGGCTCTACCATCCAGTGCCTTCTAGATCATATGCCTTTTTTGTACATATATCTTTTACCAAGCTTTTACCTCCTATTAGTGGTTCACAAGAGTTCACCATTTACCACAATTATATTCCTTTTCAGTTCTCATCCATCATTATAATTTATACACATACATTTCACATTTTAATATCATATATATTTTTTATATTGTTTTATACTGTTTTTTTATATGTACATATATAATTTTATATACATTTTTTAATTATATTGTCTGTGTGTGTGGGCAACAATGAGAGGCGCACTGTTTTTTTTCCGTTTCCTGCAGACTGTATAATATATGCAATTTGTATTATGCCTATAGTTCCCCTTTAACTTCTGAATTTAACTAATATTTTGAATTCCAAAATAGAAACACAGCATACCATAAACTGAACAGTATACAACAAATAACCAGTCCTGCATGTAAAGCTTGTAGTGTAACTATTAACTGTATACATGTTTTGGGGTGATGAACCTTCACTGTGAATGCTGTGTTACCACATAACTAGTATGTAGGTTTGGGGATGCTAAGGAGAGTTGCAGTTAGAGAATAAGGTCTACTGACCCTATTGTTAAGACCTTGCCCTATTCCATATTAGGATATTACTTGGGATGCACAGATACCATTTTTTCCAGACCGAGTACAAGTACCGATACATTTCCTCAAGTACTTGCCGATACCAATAACCAATGCCTTTTTTTTAGTGTCATGTGACAGTTTTTCTAAAACAATACAGACATGATTTTAGGACAGTGGTGGAGCACTAGGGCCTAGTTGCAGTTGCAACCGCTGCAACCCTGGTAGTTCTGCCATGACTCCAAGCTGTAAAGGGATTACAAACCTCAGCAATACATTATATGGCAATGCAGTATGCCACCAGGTATAGAGGATTACAAATCTCAGCAATACATTATACAGCAATGCAGAATACCACCAGCTATAGAGGAGTATAAATCTCAGCAACACATTATACAGCAATGCAGAATACCATCAGCTATAGAGGACTACATATCCCACCAATGCATTATACAGCAATGCAGAATAATAATTTTATTCTGCATTTCTGTATTATTATTATACAGGATTTATATAGCGCATAACAGTTTGTGCAGTGCTTTACAATATAGGGAAGACATTACAATTACAAAATTCAAGACAAGATGGTAAGGAGGGCTGTATACTGTATTGCTAGGATTTGTAGTCCTCTATATCCCGTTACCATTCTGCATTGCTGTACAATGTAATGGTGAGATTTGTAGTTCTCTATAGCTGATGGTATTCTGCATTGCTGTATAATGTATTGGTCTTATTATAATACCATCAGCTATAGAGCACTACAAATCTCAGAAATACATTTTACAGCAATATAAAACAGCACCAGCTATAAAGGACTACAAATCCCAGCAATAAATTATACAGCAATGCAGAATCATATGTTGATACATACTCTGTGCTGCTGCTCTGTTCTGGGGTGTCGGCCTGATGTCTTGGGCGGGGAGGTCTCAAGAGCGGTGCAGACAGTCTCTAGAGCAGTGTGGAGGGTTTTAGGAGGGGTGTGGGAGATGGCAACAGACCTTCTGGTGGTCCTTACACTATAAATATCATCACTGAAGATCACATACCTCCACTCCTTAAGTGGGCCATTTTGGAATGGTTGTAGTATTTTTCTGCACTACCCTCTGACGTGACTACAGGGGAGCTTCAGCCAGAAACATGCTATCAGTCAAAGTTTTATATTGTAAGTGCAATTACTTCAAAATTTATATTCTGTGCTGATTGTTGTCTCATAATGCATCTCTGCCCATTTTCCTCCAGATCAGTTTTACTAGTATAACAGGCCAGCTTCTTCTGTATTACACTACCTTTTAACTCAGAGTTGAAGAAGGCAACTGACAAGACAATGGAAACATTCTACATTTTTCATTAGTGCAATGAAAGCTACATAAAAGGATGCTTTGAATCTAATTCCTTTTGACAAAGCATACATTGCTTTCAAAATTTTTGCTTCTAAATTCAGCTGTATTTTTTTATCATAAGAGTAGGTACAAACATGCCATAACAAACAAACATGCATGTTATGCACCATGTATGTTCCAAAAAAGATTTGTAACCCCTCAGCCCCCACCTTTTAACCTGCCTGTAGAGCACTGAGGATGGGGAGAAATGCAGGATTGAGGCCTTTGATACTAGGCACAGTTCTATCTGCATGCACAAGGTCCTAGAAAAAGTGAAGGACAATGGCACAGAGAGAATGAGCTAATGAGCATGTTTCTATGCTACCATAAACACAATTTGTAGTTGAAGTCAACAATGCCTCACATTTAGAGCAAGGGCTGAACATTAAGCTTGTTAGTAACTGTGAAGCTGCATCCATTATTTGTATCATGCATATAACCACTAGATGTCATTATTCACATTTA